TGCTGTGACTGAGTCCCCTGATGATGGGCCATTCCATGTAGTGAGTGATGCTTCTTTCTACCATTCTCCCAGAAGCACTTTTGGATCTGAAGCTTACCCTGTCATCACTGTGCTTTAGTCCATGTATACAGATAACAGCATTAGATACTAGTTTCCCAAGGTGAGTAGAGTAGCGTTTCCTAGTGACACTTGGAATATCTCTCCATACAAGGCCTGGAGTACCCTGCAGTGGTAGAGTTTGCTCCATTCCAGAAGATTGCCAAAAAGAAGCTGAAGAAAAAAGATACCAAGACCGGAAGCATTGAAGATGGTGAGCCCTTTTCAAAAGCTGAATTGTAAACTAATATTAAATATGCTGACCAAACATTACCTATAGTTGGAGAGGAGGATATACTGATTCATTCATTCATCCATTCTGTTTTAAACGTACAGATCCTGAATATAAACAGTTTCTGGAATCATACAGCTTGGAGGAAGAGAAGACCAGCACTAGTCCCGAGACACTGCTGGGAGAGATAGAAGCAAAGACAAGAGAGCTCCTCGGTCTGTTTTGCTCATTCGTTTATTGAGATACTTACTGATGGAGTGTATACTCAATTCTCCATTACTGAGATGAGGGTAAAATTTCTTTCTGTTTCAGGTTTGATGGAAACAGAATTTTCTACTTTTGACAAAAGAGTGGATCATTGGGAAATATTTCTGAGCCTTTCTTGATTAAGACTATGCTTCTAGGGTCCTTGTTTAAAATGGCCACGCTGCCACAGACAAATGCATGCCCTTGGCTGCTCAGAAAGGAACTTTTGTCGCAGCACTGCTGTCTTTGCAGAACAGCCATGGGTGGGCCTCAGGAGCCTATGGAGACAAGACATTTGGCTCATATAGGAAGGTACAAATCTTCAGAGGAAGCTGACCTGCCACTGCATAAGCCCAGCTAGAGTTTAGCATCTGGTTTGAATCCCCATAGAACTTCTTCCTAAAATGGTGTGTTTTAGAAATGTCTGTCTCTTCAGAACATTCATGTGCAGACAGGAAACACCTTTGTTTTTCACCAGGCACAGTTAGTTTAGTCTCAGACACTCCTGAATGTCCCATTTCCTGATGGTCTCAGTATTAAACCTCTTGAGGGGCTGAAGAAATGGCTCATAGTTTTAAGAGCATTGGTTGATCTTCCAAAGGACCCAGCTTGGATTTCCAGCACCTAGATGGTGGCTTACAGCCAGTTATAGCTCCAGTCCCAGAGGATCCAGCACCCTCTTCTGGCCCTTGTGTGTATTACACACACACACACACACACACACACACACACACACACGGTGCACAGACAAGCATGCTCCTATGATTGGAGAGATGTAGGAAGCCCTATGCTGAGACCTGACACCTGACTCCTCCCAGGGACAGGCAGGGGCTGAGTCACTCTCATTGCTCTGACCACGGTGGTGGTGAGTGCCAGAGAGAAGCATGGGTCTGACTGACAGCTCTTGCTCCACAGGGAAGGCTGTTGGATTACGCTGAGCATGTTTTAGAAGTCACACGTTGATGGAAAGGGGGATGACAGACAGATTAGTGTGGGGGCTCAGGGGCAGAAAGAACAAAAGGCCAGAGAGTTAAGAAGAACAGGCAGGTTAATTGTGGCTCCCATATATACACAGAAAAGACAGAGGGGAGACTGGGGGTAAAAATCAAAATTTGATTTCTAAACATGTTAAATTTATAAAGTTAGAAAAGGCAAATTAGGTGTTTTAGAACTTAAGTGTCCCTTGTTTTCAGGGTGTCACTACAGGCCACTCTGAGACATCCTCTTTGTAGGTTAGAATCTAGTTTCGTTCCCACAGGGGGCCTCTGTCCTTGGGGCCTCAGTCTGCAGGGTCTTGCTCAGTGATTCTTTCATTCCAGATGTGGACTGTGGAGGCTGCATCTGTAGTTACCGCTTCTGCTTTTAAATCAGAATCTTCGCCATGAAGTCCATATCAGTTGCCAGTTTTTCCTTAGCCTTTAATCCTCCATGGAGTCTCATGAGCAAGCCTGACAAATAAGGTTTGAATAAACTCATTATAAGCTCACACTGGCAGCAGTTCCGGCTGGACCAGCCAAGGATTAGCTCTGAGACTTGGCACTTGATGGCCTCAGCAAACATCATCACCTTGCTGAGCCTTGTAAACTTTAGTGATGTGTAATTAGGAGGGGAGGAGGGATAAGTTAGTGTTACTAAGCTTATCTTGGGATCCTTTGTTTTGCAGTCTGAGAGCCAAAGTGTCTCTTTAAAATAAATTCATTTCTGTCAGACTGATTATATCAATAACAGTGCCTGCCATAACACGTGGGCATCTCCGATCATGTCCACTCTCTAAGGCTGAGACCGTTTGATCTCTAACCAGGGTGTCAGAGGTCCTTAGTATCATGCCAACTCTCAGCTATACCCAAGGAGTCTTCCCAGCCTGTTCACTGTGACATCTTAAAGGTCTGTAGGCAGGTCCATCCCTGCCTTCTCACCATGTGCTCACATTTGAAGGCTGTGGAGCTCCTGGATTTGGAGCTAGTCCCTCTAGTGACACCTGTGGGGGCCCCTGATCCCAATCAGACATGAGAGGTGAGATGCAGGAAAGGTGCCATTCAAGGTAAGGTGTGGAAATGCACTTTAGGTGAGAGAGATGGGTGCTGGACTGTTGTCTGGTTGGTTTGGTTTTGGGTCAGCAGTGCCATCTACAGTCATTTTCTAAACTTCAGATTGAATAGCTCTTGACTGAAATGATTAAGACTAGAAATGTTCTGTTTGTGGCTTTGGAATATTTGTGTGTGTGTGTGTGTGTGTGTGTGTGTGTGTGTGTGTATGTGTGTGTATGAAAATCCCATTATTATGCATGACTGTTACACAACCTGGTCTACTAAGGTAGACAGCGGGAGGCTCTGACTTCCTGATGGACAATGGGTCGCTAATAAAAACTTAAAAGAGTAGCAAGTCAGTGTATCCAGACTTGTCAGTACCTACAAATTACTTGAATTTATAACAACAGAAGAAGAAGGACAGTGCATACTCACATACATTTTAGAGATACTTTCTTCCCCTAATTATTTTAATGTTAAACTGGAAACAAGTACTTAAGATAAATCTCAATTTACAAGTTATGTGTAATGTATTATAATTTTCGTTCTTTAGCCAGAAGAACCACACCTCTTTTGGAATATATTAAAAATAGAAAGTTAGAAAAGCAGGTAGGTGATGTTTTACCTGGTGGGCATCTGTCCTGTACCTGCCATTTCTACATACGAAAGTTTACACATGTGTTTGGCTGTACCTTCAGAGACTCCGGGAAGAAAAACGCGAGGAGCGAAGGAGGAGGGAGCTCGAAAAGAAGCGACTGCGGGAAGAAGAGAAAAGGAAGAGGAGAGAAGAGGACAGGTATAAGAGGAAGGAGGCGGAGAAGCAGAAGAGAGCGGAGAAGGACGTGAGGATCAAGGTAACTGCGGAAACAGACCTGACCTGTCACAGTCAGCACACCACTAAAGTACCGTAGCTCTTGAAAATCATCAGCCGTTTTCAGTTACTCTAACCCTTTACCTCAGTTCCTCACACCCATTCTATAACAATAGCTTCAAACATCCCCGTGAGCTCAGGTGTCCTCACACAGCCTGGTGTGCTGAGGAGGGAGAAGCATGAGGCTCTGACCTCCTGATGTAGAATGGTAGCATCACTGGGAGAGCCTGTCCATGACTTAAATTCTCATGACGGAAGCGAGCCACACCTGAGAACTTCCTGCCAGCCTCTGTGTCCTCCTCAGTACCTCAGGACTAGAAAGAGGCAGGCACTCTGGCTCGGCACCAGGCAGCACCCCTGGGTTTCACCCTCATGTCCAGTTTTCCCCATGGCTGATGCATTTATTTATATGGATTGAAGAGATTTGTTTTCAGAATTGGAATTGGAATCAGCCCTGCTTAGGACTTTAAAACTGAGATTTCACCTTACTCCAGAGGATTTAAGATGCCTTATTGGGGTTCTGAAGAAATACGCAATATAAAAGAAAGTATTAACCATCATTAAGTGTTGCTTTTAATTCGTAAGGACCATATCTGTGGTTAGCAAAGTCTGTGTGTATATGTACCATGGATGTCTGGTACCAGGAGAGGCCAGAAGAGGCCCCTGCAGCTGGAGTTAATTATGGTTGTGAGCTATCACGTGGGTGACAGGAACCTAATTCAGGTGCTCCTGAAGAGCAGCCAGTGCTCTTCACCACTGAGCCGCAGTAATAAACCATAATAATTACAATAGTAGTAGATCATATTAATGTTACGATTTCTCAGCTTCTTAAGAAACTAGAAACGGGAGAAGAAACGACCACAGAGAAACCCAAAGAAAGAGGTGAGGCTGTTGGTGCTGGAGATGAGAAGCCAGAAGCCCGGCCGGTAGAGAGCCAGCCGGAGATGCCTGTGGAGAGGTGAGCGCACTACTGTTGCAGTGACTGTCACCTGTCCCTGGTCTGTAGGCACAGTGGCCATGCAAGTGCTGCACACCTACATTGCTCTGAGTTGTGTGTTTTCTGCTGAGCACACCAGAACTGTAGCGAGCACTGACCCAGCAGCCTCAGTGTCCGCTCAGTTGGGAATTCTCCTGCTCTTCCTTACCATCACCTCTTGAGCCTCTTCCTTTCCTTGTAAGACTCCTTCCTGGGCTTAGGTGTCCAGGCTCTGCCGTCCAGTCCTCCTTCCTGTGTGAATTATGCCTGCTCACTGCTTTCCTTGGTGTTTGAGATTTCACACAGTTCTATCCCAGCTCCCCTGCAGTCTGTGTGAGGTCACATTTCAGTCACCTACAATGACAATTTCAGAGCCCCATCTTTTAGGGCCGGTCCCTTCTGGAGGTTTTTTGTTTGTTTATTTGTTTTTTTTTTTGTGGTGGAGCAATAGGCCTTAGGTATCATAATTCCTTCATTCCGTCTTTCATTGGTCCTGCCTCTTTATCTTTACCTGCTCATGGTCTGGGTTCATGGAAGGAGCTCAGCCACAAAGCCAGCAGGCATAGCCCCTGGCTCTGCGTATCATGTCTACCACACACACATACACACACACACACACACACACACACACACCCAGGCTTGCCCAACCCAAGGCTTCTTCTACTTGTTGGATTATCAACTCCACAGTCTTTACACCTTGATCTGTGTTTTAGCATTGCAGTGTCATGGGTTATATACAGCAGTGCCGTAAGGCCCTCCCTTGTTCCTGTGCCTCCCACGTGACTAGCACTCAGAGGGAACATGGTAGCCTGTGCCCATGGTTAAAGGAGGAAGAGACCTCAAGAAGCAGATAAACAAGCACCTTGTCCGCTACTCACTTACCCTTTCCATTCCGTGAATCAATCCATCTGGCTATTGGACTTCGGTTCATCTGGGCACCTAGGAATGTCACTCATTTAGCTAAGCTGTATGGTGTCTTCGAGTTTCCTGCTGGGAACAGACACCATGACCAAGGACATGAAAGGACAACATTTAATTGAGGCTGGCTGGCTGGCAGGTTCAGAGGTTCAGTCCATTATCACCATGGTAGGAAGTGTGGCAGTGTCCAGGCAGGCATGGCACTGGGGATAGAGCAAGAGTTCTACATCTTGATCCAAAGGCAGTTAGCAGAAAACTCAGCATCCTCAGGAAGCTAAGAGGAGGGTCGCAAAGCCCACTCCCCAAAGTGACACACCTCCTCCAACAAGGCCACACCTCCTAATAGTGCCACTCCCATCACACCTGGAGTTTGCACCTCCTTTGGAGAACTGAGCGCTAGGACAATGTGCCCACATACCTTAGTGCTATCTCATTGTATACATGCTGTTAGGGTACAGTGACAGATGCCATTGTTTCTCCATCTTCTCAGTGTCTGCTGGATGCTGTGAGCCCATGGCTGCTAACCTCAGCTCTGTTGCTCTGGGCTCAGTTTTCACACACCCCATTCAGGGTAGAAGGGAGACAGATAATCAAAAAGCCACTTACCTGCAGTTAGTTACTAACCATTTGTATTGACTCACAGGTTCCAGGATGGCAGTGATAAAGAGCAAAGGGACAAAAGATTTCGAGAGAAAGAACCTGAAACTTCAAGATGCCATCCAGACAGTTGCAGAAAGCACAGCGTTCACTCAGAGTTTGCCAGGTTTTCCAGAAGAAACGAAGACGAGTCAAAGTGGGGGAAAGGCTTCTCCCAGGACAGAGGGAAGAAAGGCCAGGATGGCAGTGTCCCCATGGACATGGCGGAGAGAAGTAGCAAGGAGCACAAGGAGTATGACAGCCTGGGGTCAAGAAAGGATCGTCCAGGAAACAAGGCCCCGTAGACCATGGGCCGTCTTCCCTGATGTACGTGGATACCCAGCGTGCTCTGCAGCTTCACAGCCACGCTCCCCAAGTAGAAATCCTTATTAGACTGACAAGAACAACTGCCTGGTGTTCGTAGGTCCAGGGTTGTACTCTGTGTGAGCTCACATGCCCATGTGGGCTGAATTGCAAAGTTCATATCTTCTAGAGTATTCTTGCTCATCTGGGATGCACTGAACTTGAAACTAAATTCAGAATAAAACATTCCATCATCTTTTAAAGAATCAGGTTTTTATTTACCAGGAAAAATTGCTTAGCATAAGTCATTTACTGGAGATGAATTTTGTAACATTGCAGCCTTAAGATTATAAGGGAAGGGGCTGGAGAGATGGCTCAGTGGTTAAGAGCACTGAGTGTTCTTCCAGAGGTCTTGAGTTCAATCCCCAGCAACACATGGTGGCTCACAACCATCTGTAATTGGATCAATGCCCTCTTCTGGTGTGTCTGAAGACAGCAATAGTGTACTCACATACATAAAATTAATAAGTAAGGAAAAAAATAGCCATGTCTGCCGGAGCACAGAACAGGAATTCTTTGAGCTGGCATCAGAGCCTCTGGTGCCACTCACCGAGTACAGACCTGTGTACACAGCGAGGAAGGTCACTGGGGTGGTTAACTGTACTCCACCATAAGGAATGCTCACAAGACAGTGTCTGGGGTCTGAGAAAGTTTCAAGTGCAGAGTGAGCTTGAAGCCAATGCTTTGAAAGGCGTGTCTAGCTACAGTGATGAATTCTCGTGTATAACGCGTAGTTCACAGCAGCTGATCACACACCGGGGCCTAGGAGCGTGTTGCGGATGCAGCGTGAGCTTCTTTACTAGGAGCGTGTTGCTGATGCAGCGTGTTGCTGATGCAGCGTGAGTCATATGACAGTGCTCTTTCATCCCTCAGGCCGATCCCTGTTCATCCCAATTTCCCTGACCTAGCACCCTCTTCCCGAGTGGTGGTACTCGCTCCTGTGGCCTGTGCCAGGGTCCCCAGTTACAGCCTCAGCACCCATATACCCTTTGACTTCTGCGTCTAAATAACCGTGTGTTTACATAGACCCCTCAGATTTCTCCCTGGAAAACCCCAACTTTCTCATTTCTGAGGCCTGTGTGTCCCCTTCTGAATGTATGAGCGAGTTTTCCTCCCTCTGGCTGCCATCAGGTGAGCCTGCCTCCCTGAGCTGCCCAGTGCCCTTCCGTCCCGCAGCTGCAGCAGGCCACAGTCATGGCCAGTGGGGGAGTCTCCGTGCCCCTCCCCGCATCTCTAGCCTCCTAGAGTTGCTGTGACCAAGACGACTTAAACATTTCTTTTGGATCGAAATTCTAGGGTCCAGCCTGTTATAGACCGGAAGTCCTGGGGGCAGGATCCGGAGGCAACAGGTCACATGCCGCAGTCAGGACGCACAGAGAGAGGAGCTAGTGCTCAGCTAGTACCCCCCTTGTTATGTGGGCTGAGGCTCAGTACCTGGGAATGGATTGGCTCCTCCCACTTCCGTTACCTAAGGAAGATACTCCCTCACAGGCTTGTCCCTCAGACGATTCTAGATCCTGCCATGGATAACGAATATTAACCATCGCAACTCCTCTCCATGTGGAGACTTAAGCTTTACTCCAGCCCCACGATCGAGTCCAGAAGGCCCCAGAGTCCTTCCATTCACCCGGAGTCTCTGTCCCCAGTTTAGGTTAAGTGTCCCTCCACAACAGCTTGCTTATCTTCACAGTTCATCAGTATAGCCCGTCCATGAAAGTAGAAAACTCCATGGAGTTAGGGATGGGTTTTTCCACTGCTGTATGCTCTATCATCACGTGGTATCTAGTACCTAGAGAAATGGTAAAGCTAATGGATGACACAGGAACAAACAAAAAGACAACATCTTGGGCACAAGCGAGGAAATCAGCATGCTAATATTTGTCTTGCAAATACTCAGGGTTTTCTTTAGAATTTCCAACCAGCTGGATGTTTTTAATTATGAATTCTTTTTCTATTTATTCATACATACACTGTCGCTGTCTTCAGACACACCAGAAGAGGGCATCAGATCCCATTATCGATGGTTGTGAGCCACCATGTGGTTGCTGGGATTTGAACTCCGGACCTCCAGAAGAGCAGCCAGTGCTCTTAACCGATGGGCCATCTCTCCAGCCCTAGTTATGTAATTTGAAACCACTTAAACCTCATTGTTTTTTTTTTTTTTTTCTGAGTGGGGATAGTGGGTGGAGACAGGGTCTCATGTATGGCTAGCTTCAAAGTCGCTATATAGACAAAGAGGTCATTTGAGTGATTGCCTGCCTTATCTCCCAAGGGCTAGATTTACAGATGTGCACATCTGTATGCCACCACGAGTGGCATAGTGAGTTTTTAAATTAATTTTTATTTTATGCATGTGTTTCTGTGTGTCTATCTGGATAGCTTGTCCATGTCTGGTTCCTGCAGAAGACAGAGGAAGGTGTTAGATACCCTGGAACTAAACTTCACATAGCTGTGAGGCTCCATGCAGATGCTAAGAATAAAATCCAGGTTCTCTGGAAGGACCTGAGCCATCTCTCCAGCCCCATTATTTCTTTAATATTCAAGCTTTTAGGAAAAATCTTGGCAAGAAATAGACCAGCGTTTAGCAACAGATAAAGCAGTGAACATGATGGATTTTGTTCTTTGTTTCTCAGTGTATTCTGTCCCAAACTTGAAACAAGTACAAAGCAAAGAGATGCGCATTGTTTCTAGATGGATCCACAAGTAATTATACCAACCCAACGCAAAGCTCAGAAGTAACAATTAAATGAGGAATTGGAGACCTTGTTCTTCTCCCACCATTTTCTACTCTTCAACAATAGGATTGTATTCTCTGCTTTTCTACTATGTCCTCGTAGAACGACACAGGAAAACCTGCATTTAGAATTCTTGTGTAATTTTTTCCCTTCTTTCTATCTAGCGTACAGTGAATTCAGACTGATAGGAACTCTGTTTCTGTAATTGCTTTTGCTTCAAGCTAACCCTCTTTTACTTCATGCTTTATAAATGACATAGGAATTTTTATTTTTGAGACATGGTCTCATTGTACCTTCCTGAGTGGCCTTGAACTCCCTCCTGAGTGCTGATATTAAAGGTATGGGCCATGGCACCCAGCCCTTTTTTTTTTTTTTTTCTCGAGACAGAGTTTCTCTGTATAGTCCTGGCTGTCCTGGAACTCACTCTGTAGACCAGGCTGGCCTCGAACTCAGAAATCCACCTGCCTCTGTCTCCCAAGTGCTGGGATTAAAGGCGTGCACCACCACCGCCTGGCTTAAAATTTATTTATTTATATATTATTTGTTTATCTTTTGGTTTCTGAGATGGGGGTTTCCCCATGCAGTCCTGGTTACCCTGGAACTCACGGTGTAGACCATACTGGCCTTGAATTCCCAGAAATCTGCCTGCCTCTGCCTGTTTAGGGCTTGGATTAAAGATATGGCCCACCATATGGCTTTTTGTTTTTAACTGTACCTTTGATGCTGGATAATGAACCCACAGCGGTTGCATACGTTAAAGACAACACTTCACCACTGATGCTAGATAATGAACCTGTAGCCGCCCAGGGCCACAAATCAACTGGGTTCACCTGAAAGGGGGGCTGGGAATGAAAGGAGGACGGAGGGCGAGAAGGGATGAAGCCAAGACAAAAGTTCTCTGATCAAGGCTCAATGCTTTAATGTTCAGCTCTCAATTTAAAGGGAAAGACCCCGCCCGAACCCTTCCTAGTTTCAGCCGGGAGAGTTGGGTGGGATAATCCGTTCTTGGTCACAGGTCACGGTCAGAGAAGTCTCAAGGCAAGCCCAGGGGCAGTTATTTCAAGTTCCATGCAGCCAAAGTGGGTAACTCCTCCTATGTCCTTATCACTTGGTCTGTTGTGGTAAACAAGGTCTCTCAGGCCTGCTTAAGGCCGGGGAAGGGTACATGAACCCACAGCGGTTGCATATGTTAAAGACAACACTTCACCACTGTGGTACGTCCCTTTCCTGAAGCTAAGCTTCTCTACACCATTCCCTTCTGCCTGACACTCTGTATAATTCAGAAAGGAAAAAAAAAAAAAAACGTAAGGGCTTCCCTTTCGGAATTCCTTGCAGGTTTTTGACAGCTGTCTAACATCATCAAAATCAATAAGGAGAGACTCTGTGCGAGTCTGATTTTCCTCTCATAGGTTCAAAGAATTATCCAGTATTTTTTTTATCAAAAACTTTATGGCCAGGCGGTGGTGGCGCATGCCTTTAATCCCAGCACTTGGGAGGCAGAGGCAGGTGGATTTCTGAGTTCGAGAGTTCGAGGTTAGCCTGGTCTACAGAGTGAGTTCCAGGACAGCCAGGGCTACACAGAGAAACCCTGTCTAGAAAAACAAAAAAAAAAAACAAAACAAAAAAAAAACCAACAACAACAAAAAAAACCTTTATATTTTCCCTAAATATCAGAGACAGATGGGCACCAAATTATGACAAGCAAACACTCCCAACTCCCATCCACTCTTTAAAAACAAAACAACAACACTCCTTTGGTTTTAAAAGCTACATACCGGCCGGGCGGTGGTGGCGCACACCTTTAATCCCAGCACTTGGGAGGCGGAGACAGACGGATTTCTGAGTTCAAGGCCAGCCTGGTCTACAGAGTGAGTTCCAGGACAGCCCAGGCTATACAGAGAAACCCTGTCTCGAAAAACAAATAAAATAAAATAAAATAAAATAAAATAAAATAAAATAAAATAAAA